AATGCAAATCTTGCGACAAGGGCATTCAGGGTTGCAAGGACTTTAGCAGAGCCTTCACGTTTAGCACAGCCTTCGAATGAAGCAACGATGCCTTGATGGTTCATCAGGATTTCGCGGGCTACCCGGGGCGAGACGATATATTTTTCACAAACAGCTTGTAATGTCGGCAATTCAATATTATCTTTGAAATCTTTGGGGTCATATCTATCGACACGGGGAGCATTCTTATTCAGGCGTCTGATTTTCGACGGTTCCGTGTTGAAAATGGTCCAAGTTTCTGGCAAATGAGGCTTGGAGAATGCTTCAAGCATATATTCTTCAAAGTCCTTCGCGTAGTATCCATCGTTGGGTTTCTTCAGGGTCCCCATTACAGCAAATCGGAGCAATTGAGACGCTGAAGGTTCCCGCCGCGCCTTTGACCTTCGCACATGGAACAAGAGTTGAGCAAGCGATACCGTCTGGGTGTTTGGGTGTAAGTAGCTCGAGGCGTAGCGACAAAGGCGTGGTGGTTGTGGAGGGAGCCATGACCGGCAAATCGAAGGATTTGACATGGAGGCTTCTCCTCTCCTATGCGGGAATTATATAGAGAGGCAATCAGGGGAAGGTGGCCATGGCTGGAGCGTTATTGTTGTTGAAGCTCAAGTTCTGCATTGGAGATAATAAATTATAAGATCGCGGCTCTGTGACAAAAGTGGCTAGTCCTAATCGTTAGTTACTAGTGGTTCCCAAAGCCTCAGGCGGAAATCGTCACCAAGGCATTTATCATTTATTGTCAACGTTGGAAAACCACTCAAACAGCTACTGAGAATCAACCAGCACGACGCCTGTGGCGAAGGCACGCCTGTTCGTTTATTACATGCAATCATGCCGGACCAATATAACCAGCAACACCACCCCTCCTCTGGCTCGGAACTGGCCACTCCGGTTGCCATCCAAGACGAAGCCGGGGTCCAGGTGGTTAATAGCAAGTCTCCCATAAGCCCCAAAGAGAATCCCGTATCGAACACGGCAAGTACTTTGTCGGCCGACACTGAAAATAATAAGACAACAGATGCTGCTTCAAGGACTAGGGAAATGAGAGACCGTTTCAAGGCACTTCAAGCGAGAGCTGTGAGTTTTTTTTTCGCAACCATTGATATCGTGCACATGTTAACTGGAAAGTAGAAAAACGCCGCAGAAAAAAATCTAAGGGAGACTGCTGCCGAATCGAAACGCCTAGCTACCGATCCTAGCCTTCTCTCGAGTATTTCCCGGAAACACGCTTTCGCATCGCATAACCTGCTCAAAGCAGATACTGAAGCCCAGGGCGAGGATTTCGAGCGGAAGCGTGCTTGGGACTGGACTGTCGATGAGTCGGAGAAATGGGATAAACGCATGGAAAAGAAACAGAGACACAGAGACGATACAGCTTTCCAGGACTATCGCCAAGATGCAAGAAAGATCTACAAAAGGCAGATGAGACAGATGCAGCCCGACCTTGAGGCATATGAGAAGGAAAAAATCTTAGCCGTGGAAAAAGCTGCGGCAAGTGGTGGACTTCAGATAGTGGAAGCAGAGGATGGAGAGCTCGTCGCCGTTGATAAAAACGGCACCTTTTATTCCACAGCGGATTCGGTGGATTTTGCGGAGAACAAACCAGACCGTGTTGCAGTTGATAGACTGGTAGCGGACTTGAGGAAGGCAGAGGAGATTCGCTGAAGAAACGTAAGGACCGCGGTCGTGACGATGAGGAGGCTGATGTTACGTACATCAACGACAAAAATAAGAAGTTTAACCAACAGTTGGCAAGGTTTTATAACAAGGTACGTTGGAAATACATTTTATACGCAATTATTTTTATGACACTTCGCTAACTTTTCTATCTAGTATACTGCGGAAATTCGAGACAGTTTCGAACGCGGGACCATGATTTGAGAATAATGGTAAAGCTAGGATGGGTATTTATTGTACACTATCGGGATCAACAGATGAGAATCGCTATTTCAAATAATAATACAAAGAGTGGCTCTTCGCCACCTCAGATTAAAAGGCGATAGACGATAGCTCAAGATCACAACATAGATCTTCTCCAACCCTTCGTGGCCAACGTCTCAATCTTTTTAGGTCCCACAACACCTTGGGCATTATCATCACCAATTGCCTCCACCACAGCCTCGCTGACAATATTGACGTTTAGAGGCTTCGCGGTCATCATTCCCAAAAATGAAAGCCGTCCTCCCAGGAGCGCGTTCACTTCCGATCCTACGATCCCACCTAGCGCAATAGGCAGTGTTAGTTTCCGCGATGAATCATACATGAAAGTCGGTCTTATGAAAATACTGCGGAGGTCAGGGAGGCTGGAGGAGATGAGGGCCTCCGCATCCCTTTTGGATGTGACATATCTTTCCGGAACCACTGGAGCTCCGGCTGCGGCTGATATGAAGGCAAACGTCGGGACGTTCTCGTAAACGGCTTCTTGCGCGAGAGCCACAGCTGTTGCAGTGAAAACGTTAGCATAGTTTATTATAACCCTATAAAATATAGAAAATCTAGTTCCAAACCAACCAGAATCCCGATTCATGAGTTCGTATGTTAATTGACCGCCAGAGAAGGTCAATTCTTCTCCCTCTTGCCTTTGCAACGGATTCTGGCTTCCGGGTCTTGACGTTGCGAACAGTTTCTGTAGCCCACTAATTACCGATTCCCTGCCCTGCACAATTCCTTTGTAATCCGCCTCTAACAGTATTCCCATAGAATGGACCACCGCGGAAGCGTCTTTGAGGAACGGTTTATAGGTGGCAGGTTTTAGGATATCGGCTTTAGCCCATTCAACGGACTTTGCCCACCGCGGCGCATGCGAGGACAATGTAACAGTTCCCCAGGCTGGTTCGCCGTGTCGACTATAAAAAAAAATTAAAAGAACAATTGTTATGCTATTTGGTGTAGGAAAGCAGTCTGCTAAAATTGATGAGACAAATTACCTCAACGACACCACCTCCCATCCTCGAGCTACAGCTGATTTGCATATTCTGGAACCTGTATCATGGGAGTTAGACAAATTGGTCTACACAGAAATAACAGTCCTCTCAGGATATGACGGTCATATTTACTAGCACTTACCCAGAAATCCGCTTCCGCCAGCAACCACAATTCTCTTAGTTGCCGCCATTTGCATATACCGATTTATATCGTAGAGGTAAGGATATTATCACCGACCATTTTGTTCTTATTGCTATATCTTCCGAATGGTTCCAATAGGGTATTCTAAGCTATAAAAGTTTGTCGAAGTTCGCATCATGTTCTAATTAAGCTGGCTGACGGCCGACCAACTTCCATGTCACGTGGTAAATAAAACATGGATGCCGATGCTTGGTCCTCACTTCCGATCTCCTCAGATCTCTTCAGTTACCAACAATTCGAGCGATTTGATCCTACCCCCATCTGGTCCCGTAACTTGTTTCGAAAACCTTTGGCAAAATGCCTGCCCCAGCAGGCACTAAACGTGTTCGCGTGAGTCCAAAACCCATCACACAGCCTTCCCCGCAATGCTAATTGATCTCCCAGGGAATCTCAATATTTAGACCATTTGGTATGTAATAGCATGTGCGGCCAAGTTATTTAACTTACCCGCGATAATTCCTCCTTATCTGACCGCCAATACTAGTTTTCGGAAGCGAAGCGCAGCCCTTTGACCCGGCAAAACGACCCCCAAACGCGCCCGAGGACCACACCCACCAGTGGCGTGTATTCGTCAAAGGTGTCAACGATGAAGACATCTCATACTGGTTGAAAAAGGTGCAGTTCAAACTACATGAGACCTATGCGCAGTGTGTGCGCACCATCGAATCGCCACCGTTCGAGGTAACAGAGACAGGATGGGGTGAGTTTGAGATACAGATCAAGTTATACTTCGTTCCAGAGTCGACAGAGAAACCGCAAACGTTATGGCACAGTCTGAAGCTGCATCCGTACGGGGATGACATCGAGGGGAAAAGAGAGAGGCGAGATGTCATTGTGGCACAGAATTACGAAGAGGTTGTGTTTAACGAGCCCGTTGAACAATTTTATGATCTTCTTACGGGCGGAACAGGAGTAGTGCAGCAACCTCCTAAAGGAAAAGCAGGGAAGGGGGCTAAGCAGCCACAAACGCAACCGGGGAGGACAGCGGAAATCCCTTACTCGGATAGCCCGAAGAATCCGTACAGTCAAAAGACAGAGTCGAAGGAGCTGGATAGGTTGGCCGAGGCTATCAAGACTGTGGATCAGATGCTGAAGGAAGAGAAAGCAAAGCTGGCGGAGCGGGAAGCTAAGTTGGATGAGTTGAGGAAGAGTGAGGGTGTGACGACCGTGGTGAAGAAGAAATAGACGTTTCTCTTGCCATTCTGTTTTTGCAATTCGAAGAATTATCAAGTCATTGGAACAATTGGTGAGAAATCTCCCGTCTAACACGCTCTAGGAATATCCTGTCTAACTGAAAGGTTTCCTACTTAAGCAAATTCCTTCTCCTTTTCAGAAGGTGGGAGCACGACGACACTATGTAACATTGGCGGTTTATGTATGGTAGAGATACTTACAGGCTGCCATCACTGGACCTGAAATACCGGTCTCTAATTATCCTTTTTGAACGAATCCTCGACATTTCACAAGCCAGTTCCCAAATCAACATGCATTAACATCATTCTTATTACTGGCCCAGCTTCTCAGCTGACTCTTGAATGGGCACGGATACCTCTACGCTTCTCAACCGTTCGTCAATCGCCTCCAAACACAAAAATCTCACAATTTCATCCATTGATTTCTAATTCCTCGAGACTTGGATCTGAGAACTTCTCTATTGAGGAAATATCGGCATCTTAAACATTCAGGCCATCTGGAGGGATTTTCCGGGACGAATTGGCCGCGCAGGGACTATATCTCCCAGTACCCCATAGAATGTACTATGTAGCGGATGGAATAGTTCACTACTAACTTTCCGGTAAATGGCCGCTGGAAATACAAGAGCGTTTCTGGGGCAACAATCTATACGTCCGGTCTGGGAGGCAATATCTTAATAAAGGTATATATTTCTATCACACCGGATTCACAAAACAAACGTACGTGTGTATCTATTCTTCTCTCCATGTGGTTTCAGTGGCCGCAGGGTCATGCTTCCAAAAATTTCGAACAGCAAAGGTCAAAAGTTTTATAGAGAATGCAACCAAAGATGATTTTGCGGAGAAAAACTTCACAAAGAGAAAAAGGAAAACAACCGAAGAAATGCAACTTCTACTTCACGACACTGAACATCGCCAATAGTACATTCATTCATATATTCACGAATCCCGCATCATCAATCCACATCCAAAATCTACTCTTTCGATCCAAACACCTTGACTCTCTCCTCCAATGGTTTGAATGTCTTCTCCATCAGTTCATCCGTTGAAGTGCCGAAGACCATTTGAGCGACCAGCTTCCATTCACCAGGGAGGGACCAGGTCTTGGCAACAGTGTCGTCGATCAAGGGGTTGTAATGTTGTAAGTTTGCGGCGAGGCCAACGGATCGAAGGGCGAGCCAGACTGTGTATTCGATAACTGTTAGATAAGTGGGCTTCGCAGACATGGCCAAAATAGAAACACATGGCGAGGGGAAGTTTTTAAAAGAACAACCAAGAGAAGGGCGAAAGACTACGAACGGAAATACTGATGCATGGCATTCGTATGCTGTGCCCAAGGGGCAAATTGATCTCTATATGTCGGAAACTTCTCCGCCATTGGCGCGATGTGTTCCGGATCTTCGAAGAAAAGAATCTATACGGGTGCAGACGATTTAGGTTAGTTAACCAGGATTTACGTAACCCGAGTTCTTTTACTCCGTACCCAGAAAGGAACGGCAATGGGGAGGAAATACGTACAGTGCCATACGCTGCCCTGAATCCTTGCAACCTGGGCTTCGTATGGGTCTCCCACATTTCCTTCGACATCTTCCCCGGGACTACCATCGACTCCACAAATATTTTTGTCGCTGCATCCCACAGTTTTCTATGCTCTTCATGCAACAGAAGCACAAGACGGGTGGACTGTGTATTGAAACTACTTGGCACATGCAAGATGGCACTCTTGACCAACTCTTGGATCTCGGAGTCTGGTACTGGACTTGAGGCGGAGAGCGTATAAACTGAGCGCCGTGCTTTGGCGAGTTCTATGAAAGCAGCGGCGGTAGCGGCGGGGATAAGAGGCTTAGGCTCTGCGACAGTCATTTTGTTTTCCGATTGCGAGAACGCACAAAGACAAGTTCCGGTCAGACTCTAGCGGATATAAGCTGGCGATCTATGGGAAGGATGATTCGCGAAATGCTTGAGGGGTATTAAGTAGGAAAGGAATTCCTTTGCAGTTGTTATGGATGAGCACATGATGAACGGGTCAGGGAGAGGAGCTCGATTTATAGAACAGTGCTCGCGGGGTCCAAGAACAGTGAAGCCAAGGTACCGAGCTTCCTCATGAGGGCATTGTCAGAATATCAATTATTCATGAATGACAAATTGAGCAGTCCTCGAAGACCAGATATGAAACAAAGTCTCCAAAGAAAATATAGAAACTTCTCCGAATGTAGCTAGCTTCGGTTTCCAACTCCAAATTGACCAGTGATGACCCGAGGTTTTTCGGGCCCGGCGCGGAATGCTCCATCGTGGTGTGCTTCTACCCCAAATGACATTAACCGGGCCCTAGATGATTTGTAAGCTGCCGCTCACCTGCAACCTCTGGTCGGCCCCTCGTTCCGAGGGTCCGCCATCTCAACGTTATCCGCCATCTCAACGCGATTATTTTCAAATACGCGAATCTCTTTTTTCAAAATGCAATAATCAACCAATGTGATGACTTCTACATATATTTTAATAGAGAATAAGATCACAGAGGCTCTAGATTCCATAGCCGATATTGAAAAACCCAATATCAAAGCATTGGCAAGAGATTATAACCTTCCCTATTCCCGTCTGCTCAATCGATACAATGGCCGTGCTCCGCGAACTCATCGACCTCCTGCTAATCGACTTTTATCTTTTGAGCAGGAAAAATCACTTTGTCAGTATATAGAAGCTCTAGATAAGCTATGCCTACCTCCCAATCGATCGATGATCTTTGGTGCTGCTCGATTCCTACTTGCGCAGAGCCATACAGATTCTACCACACCTGCACCTGGGCTTGGAGAGCACTGGGTCAAAAGATTTCTCAAACGCCATCCAGAGTATAATGTACGCAAGCAGAAGACCATTGATATATTACGGAAACAGGCTCATCAACCATCTCATATCCTTGATTGGTTTAACCGGTTCAAAGAAACAGTCAATAAATATGGAATTCAAGATTGCGATATCTACAACTTCGATGAAACAGGGTTCAGAATAGGAATTGGACATGATCAATGGATTGTAACGCGAGATCCTCGAAGACGGGCCTATGTTGGAAGTTCAAATAATAGAGAAAGTCTTACTATCATTGAAGGAGTTGCAACTGATGGCTTTACCATTCCTCCCTTATATATTCTCACCGCGAAGCAGCTACAGGAGCGGTGGACAGATGAAATAGAGAAGGATGCCATGATAGCTACATCCGACACTGGGTATAATAATGATCAAATCTCTTTTCAGTGGATTCAGCATTTCCATCGGTCTACAAAAGCTCGCACCAAAGGAACCCACCGTCTGCTTCTATTAGATGGATTTGACTCCCATTGCACCTTTGAATTCATGGATTTTTGTGAAAAGAACAACATCATTCCCTTCTATCTCATCCCGCATACGAGTCACCTATTACAACCTCTGGATGTTGGTGTTTTTCAAGCCTTTAAGCATCATCATTCAGTGGCAGTTGAAGAAGCAACAAGACGCGGCTGTGAGAAGTTCACAAAGGTTGAATTTCTTCATGCTATCACCTCCATACGAAAAGCAACATTCAGAGTTCATACAATCAAACATGGATGGGAAGCAACTGGCCTACTTCCATTCAATCCTTCAATTGTCCTTAATAAATTGCGTGAATTCGAGACTACTCCTTCAGAATCTTCAAATTCAGATTCCATGGATTCAGATACTTGGTATACTCCTTCAACTGTACGCCAATTCAACCGATATAAACGCAAACTCGAGGCTTTGGAAGAGGAAGATGAAGATAACTATGATGAGGACTATATATATGAAGGATTACAGAAGCTTTATAAGGGTAGTATTGCAATGGCCAATACAGTGGCTCTTTTGCAGGAGGAGCTCTCGCAGACAACTGCCGCCTCGGCTGCTCGCAAACGCCGTCTGAACGGCTCACGGAGGGTAGTTCATAAAGGAGGAGTCATCTCTGCAGATAATATTCGCAAAATGACAGCTATTCATCATCAGATTGGTAGTGAGGAGGCATTGGAGAAGTTACGGCCAAAATGGAAGAAGGTTATGAAGGAACTTAAGAGATATTGCAGAGACAAAGGCATTTATGTTAATGCCACCAAATTTACAAGGAATTCACGGCAATAGTTCATTTACAATATAATCTATTTGTATCTATCAAATATAGATTCATTGGTTGATAAATCAACTGAATATCATGGGTATAAGTGGGCAGTAACGTTGAGATGGCGGATAACGTTGAGATGGCGGACCCTCGGAACGAGGGGCCGACCAGAGGTTGCAGGTGAGCGGCAGCTTACAAATCATCTAGGGCCCGGTTACCAATGCTTAACAAATGCTTAACTATTCCCAGCGAACATTGTTAACCTCGCCCTCGGCGTTAGGATTTAACGCGCTCGGCACTTTTGACTTTTCGGAGGCCGGGAATTCTCCGATTCCTAATTATTATATTTCATGAGCTGCTCCTGTCCAACAAGCACACTTTAATGGCATTGAATAACCATAGAGGACGAATTAATAATGACAATACTTATCACAATGGACGCTGATAGAAACATATGGATAAAAGGGGAGAAATATCGATTTCTTTGTAAAAAAAAAAAAAATTATGGAAAACAGGAAAACCAGAAAACTCCAAGCCCCACTATTATAGAAAGGGACCTCAAAGAAGAATATCTAATATACAATGTGCATTACCCACCTTTAATGAGAAGGGTACGAAGACGATATGGCCCCATGCCCCTTAATCCAATAAATGACCTCGCCGGAATTATTGTACGGATAGTTGTCCCTCTGTTTCCCAACATCATTATTATGTTTCCCTCTCCGCAAACGTAGGGAAGTCAGCTCGCGAACCCTGTAACGAGCATTCGCTAGATTTTTGGTCCGGATGAGTGGCGCTATACCACCCGTCTTCAATGAGTCGACTTTCCGTCTCTCGCCAATACTGCAGTTTCCCGCCGATTCCACTCTTGAAATCAAGATCTCCCAAGCGCGCTTCGAGTGGTTGAAGTTCGTCGAGTGGAACCTGCGAATTGAAGAAGGTCAGTCCCAGTACACCATTTCCTTATTCTGGAAATGCCAACCACCTACCTTAACAAACATGGTGCAATCCCTCAGCGTCATGGAAATAGCACGCTCCCGAAAATTTGCTTGTAAACCAGGAAGGCCTACTGCATTCATTTGGCGCTGACACTCTTGCAGTCTAAGCAGGGTGCTATTTCGATGCAAGAACGCGGCGACACGCTTTCTCCCGTGACCTCCACGGATAAACCGTGTCGCACGTAATACATCTTCAAAGTTATCCGAAACCAAATCAAGCGGGCAGAATGATTGCTTTTCAGAATTGCCAGCGTTTCGTGCGTTGAAGTTTTTCATCTCTCGTAACGCACAAGTCCTGCATCTCTTTGCATCGGGCGGCGCTGATGGCGACTGAAGCAGCCACTTTGGTTTGAATTCCCACAAGCATCCTCCTGACCCTGTGACTGGGGTCATGTCAGTGATCATTAAACCGAAGGGCTCCTTGGTGGATAAATAAACACCATAGCGTTCTTTCGGGCGCAAATTGCGAGCTTCATCCACACGAAGCTGTTTATTGCAGTATGCTATGAATCCTTTTGGTAGTCTGACAAGTTCCTGGTCAACCAATTCGTGGTTGTCAAACATAGGTTTTATGTAGCTATCAAAGTTATTCACAGTGTCTGCGTAAGAAGTCGCAGACTTGATTTGCTTCCGCAACCGCAGCAATTTCCTGTTATCGCGCTGTTGACCACCCCCATTTGTCGTAATTGAGGGAGCATGCTCATTTTGTGTCGTAAACTTGTAGACTATATTCGCACCGCCTTCGGCTAGATAGAACGGTCGAGCGCGAGGAAAGAGTTCCCGGAAAGTATGTGATGTTATAGATGTTGTTTGGGACGTGGTGCTCTCTGATTTTAGGGGGACAGCTCCTATTAAGTTGCCGCGCCACGGCTTTGCGCCTTGCTTTTTCATTCCAAGGTTTCGTTGCATTGGAGTGCGCGATGCAGATGGCTGTTGATGTCGACACGCGAAAGTCACGATAAATATAAAAGCAGAAAAGGCAAAAACCAAGATTAAGCCGACCATCAGGAATTGACAATTGATGGAAACAGATGACCCAATAAAGCAACCTGTCTCCCCTCAGTGAAAGTCCTTAAAAATGAAATGGCGTACGATTGAAGAGTATTATACTGCAACAATCACTTTAAGTTGGTTGCTGCCGCCTTCCTCCTAATTGCCAATACCAGTTTGTAAGACCTCGGAAGTGACTCTCTTTGGGGGCCGCTTCTCCTAGGCACTACGCGATCCGTTTGTCTCTTTCACGAATTGAAATCAACTCCGATACAGCATTGCAATGCATGAAAGGAGCCGCAAACTTAGAATGGAGCAGGTGCAGCTCAACCCAAAACGTGAAAGACGCGGATCTGGATGTGACATGCAATTCAAAGATGGGGGCTGTGACAAGGAAATGCTTATATACCTCGTCATGTAAATTGAATATCGAGGAAGAGAGTAGGGGTTATCGCAGCAGCAACAACAACAGCAACAGCAAAAACGCAAACACTCCCCCGGGTGAGTTTATACGTGGACACAGAAGGAATTAACAAGACACCAGATACGGCAGGCAGCACGGCGCGCAATCCAATCGGGAATACAGCCGCTCCGCAGAGCAAGAAGGACCATGCAGCAGATGCTGGGAATGATGCTGGAGAATCGAGTGGTCCAACAGCCCGCGGGGAGACAGGCCAATTTGGGCTGGGGTTCGGATCTTGGGGATTTGGCACGAGCAACTGGCCCTGCTAGCCGTTGGAGATGTGGTCGAGGAAGGAGAGGCCTGCAAATCGAAAGCCCTAAGTGTTAACTCCAGAGTTTCCATTCCCAATAGGTTCAGTGATTAACAACCACCACAGCGCAAGAGTCGGCTGGCTGAAGGAGAAATAAGCGAGATATGAGTGAGTACAGACAGATCGGTCGAGCAAAGGCGTATACGAGTTTGCCACCACGCAATTTCGATTCTTATTGATGCGACTTGCTTTTGCAGCTTTTCTTTCTTCTCAGTCCTTCCTTCCTTCTTTCTTTCTTTCTTGCTTTCTTTGCTTTGTCTTCTTTCCTTGGCTCCTTCACTTCCTCTGCGAATCTTTTTGTGTTGGCAACTGCGATATCGAAAAGGTGCGCGACCACTACTTTTTCCCTTCCCAGAAAATGAAGAAACCCGTAAAAGACTCGATCCGTCACGCAGGTGAACGGCATGAATAGCCTGGGTTGACACTTCTGCTTTATAAGCCAGTTAGGCACCGCAGTTCGGTAGGTTCGTAGGGGTTCTCACACTGAGTCTTGCAGTGGGATATTATCTATTGAAAAATTCCCGAGCTGGGCCAGGGAAGAAAAAAGCCACAGGCAATATGCGTTCGAAAGTATATATGGTCTGTTGATTGCTTGGAGGCTAGTTATCAATATTTCCACAGCAATTCACAACTGATGGCGGAGAGAGACCGCGGAATTTGAGGCTCTAACCCTCGTGTCCAGAGGGCTTGTCGTATAGAAACGAATATCGCGGAGCGCCGTGGCCTAACTTTTGTATTTATTCTCTTCGGCGTGAAAGGCGCAATAGGATAAATGATCAAAAATCAAACACCGGCAGCCAAAAAGTAAATTGATAAATCACAAGTTTGTACTCGTTAGTTGTAGAGACCTTCAGCTGTGGCAACAGAATATAAACTCAATTTTAAACGCTATCGTCTGTAGCGCTCTTCATAGTTCAGTCTGGAATCTGGATGTTATGTTGATTTTTTTTTTCTTTTTTTCCCCCGGTCCCCAAAAAAAAAAAAAAAAAAAAAAAAAAAAAAAAAAATATCATTTATCATGCGATTGTTCTAAACATATCAAGCCTTGACCATCACGAAATAATTAATTAGGTTGGTGCAAGCTCTGAGATCCACAGCTCCGGTGGCAGTGGGACTTTTTTAGTTTAGATGCATATGAATACTCACGAATCAACCAATCCCACAGAGAAAGCATGCGAGGAAATGGTGGGCCTGACTCGATATCCGGGCGAGAGTTCCGCCGCAAAAAAATGGAAAGAGAGAATAACGTATATATTCCATGATAATGTGAGGGGTAAGTTAAGTTAATAATGGCTGCGATCCGAAAAACTTTTTCTTCTCCCCTTGATCTCATTAAGTTACTCGCACTAACGCTGTCACTTGTTAATTGCCTTGGCGAGTGCTTGACTTGTTGCAACTTATATCATGGACGGAAGTGTGAGACATCTTCCCTCGAGCACGCTACATGGAGCCCCAACGGTAGATCCGTTACATTCCAGTGGACGAACTACTGAAATTATTTGGGCGTGGTGGAGAGCTTGATTCTTCAAACTTGGGCCTATTAGGTGTCAAGCCCCGGGAGCCCTTTTTCTGAAGGAGGCGCGGGCTCAGAGGACCGAGCTGGCTCCTTGCGGCGGCAGTGACCCGTATGGAGTAGAGACTCCACAAGGGCGGGGTTGTAAGAACGCCTGATGATCGCCGTAGGACCCTGCAAGGTCTGCAGGATCCCGATATCCCCTGGAGCGGGTGTGCTCGAGCCTCATGCAGATATCCGAACGGCGTCTCGTGCGCTACCCTTCAAACGTCCATCAATCCATTCTAGCAAACCACACGTATCACACGGAAGATGAGTAACGGCAATGCCCTTGCATATTTCACCTGAGGAGTCAGCCTCACTTCAATTCCCTTTGTTGTAGGTAAATATCAAACATCAAACTTGGTTCAACAAACTCCACTCGATGCTCCGTAGGTAGGCAGGAAACAAGGGGACAAAAACTCAAAGAGTAGCATTTAGTGTTGAAACCCCAACTCAGCTCCTCCAATCTTCACTGGAGAAGTCTCGCTGCTCATGCCACATTTTTCTGCCACTCCCCCCTGATTATGGTGCGGATCATTGACTCCCACAAGGTCCAAGGCAACAGGCCCATGCTCCTTAGCAGAGGGATCTCCGCGAATACATTGAGCACCATAAACCTCAAACCTAATTCATTAAATTGAATAATGAACCAACTGTAAACCGCTCCGTTTGTATAACTATCCTTGGGCAGTGCTTCACATTGTGATCCTATCTCCAGGGCTCTGTCAAAAGCAAAAAATTTCAGGTAGTTGCGGTTGAGCAGCATATTCATCTGCAATATACAGGAACTTGATAACAGCAACATCACGAGAAAGACCATCCATCCATGTCTTTCACAGGTCGAGTGTTCGAGATTTTCCGCTCTTAGTATCTCGCAATGCTGCATGGTCCTGGACTTTATTTTGTTGCAACACAGCCTCTTGTGGAGCTGTTCTCTTTCTTAGTTCCTAACTTTCATCTTGCATTCAGAGTTGGCTGCTCCCTTGCTATCCGAGAACAAATCTTGGTACCTGTAGGAGCTCAGGCCGAAGAGCCGAAAATTGCTGAAGATTCAATCCCAAGTTGACTAATGCATTGCGGAACAATTCTGCAAGGTTGGGAAATGGCACTCCCCCAAGCGACTAACACATCATGCCGGCAGCGTAGCCCCTGGAACATTTGGCGCCACTTTAGGGGCCCCCACGTCTAAACTCAGCTGACCAGTTAGATTGCAAGGAGTTGGAGGGATTGGATTGGGTGATTCGTACCCTCTACGCCGTATACCACCACGGCGCTTGGTAGTGATTGATTGAGCTCTTTTGCCCTAGTGGCCTAATACAAGGCCATCAAAGGTTAAAAGCATCTGGTGCTTGAATGTCACCAGTCTCCCGCATTCTCCCTTACACATGAGTTATTGCCATCCATGGGCAGCGTCAACGCCGTTTTCCTCACAGTCAAGAAAGATCAAACAGAGCTTGGTATTGATGTGAATTATATGGGAATAGATGGACTGACTTAGTCTGATATCCATGAGGCTTGTAGCTCCGGCGAGAACAAGAATGAATACACTTCTCAGAGGGAATGTGAACAGTGTCGGCAGCAACCAATTCAAGTTGATTATCTGAGGATCTCCTTGCTTAGCCATGACGGGGCCCGGACGATGGTCCAGCTCGTTCCTAGGTTCATTAGGCGTATATCCTGGATTGTTCATGGCCTGTAGGCTTAGCGATGTAACTCCCAGGCTGCCAAGGTCGGGAGACCATCAAACCTCATTTAGTAGCCGTCACAAGGGATGCGAGTGTGGACATGGAATAGGATAAGGAGAAATCTGTCGGGATCGTGGGATGACCCGTGGATTACCCGAGATCCAAACGCAACATCATCAGGCCATGAGCAAAAGGCAGAATTACTGGTAAGCTCAACTCTATCAGCCTTGAAATTGAACGATGACGAGGAAAATGATATCTGTCCGTGTATTTTCTGCTTCGTTGCGATTGTAGACGGGACAGTGATGCAATGCTGAGGTAATAATCGAACTCTTCACCCACTCCTCAGCTGCCCGGTATCTTCTTAACTATTATGCCTGTTGATATCTTCACCAGCCACGAAAGATTCGTCTTAGGATTCAGTCATGGAGAGCATATCTAGTACAATTGCCACACCACCACATTGTACGGCAGATTTCTGTCTGATACCGGTACGTTAAAAGCATGCGTTGCGTGGGTGATGCGGCCTGCTGAATAGTTTGTGTGATTATATCTAAGGAAGAATTCACTCGAATCTCCATCAAATTTTTGTTCTTCCTCTGGTGTCCTTATATCAATCCACCCCTTGAATTGCTTCGACTCCATGAGAGCCCAGTCAATTGGAGAGAAAATCAAATGATGCATCATCGGGTGCCCCCTTTCCTCTCTCTAAGTAGCTAATCTCTGTTACAGATAGGCACATCGTCAGCGTCAGTATCTCAACAAATTGCTGATGTCCAACGTCTGGTTGAGAAATCTGGGGTGAAATATGTCATGCATTCGGCGGGGACTACTCTAGGTACGTTCAATGAATTCTTTTCATTGTAATACTGCTTCTTCTCCTCGGCGGGTTAACCCCGAGAGGATATGCATCCTCAAAGCTCCTGTTCCCAACTCCTCCCGATTATCTGTCCCGTTTGGGGATCAAAATCTAACAGCCTGCAGAAGGATCATGGGACGCCGTTTTTGCCTTGATCGGCCAGGCGCATGCAATGCTCCATAAACGGGGCATTGTGCGTATACAGACAGATATTAGGGTTGGGTCCAGGTGAGGCATTCCCTCTTTTGCTGGCATTTATATATCTATATCTATATCTATAACGTCAGGTCGATGAAACAAAGTTTTATATAACTGACTGGTGGACATTTGTAAAACAGAACCGACAAGGTGCAGAGTACGGAAGACAAAGTGGCTGTCGTTGAGAAGCTGCTGGGGAAGTCGTAGTGATATTTAAAGCTTCCGTAGAGAATCGGAATCTTTCTCTCTCTCTAGGGGAAGAAAGAAAAAACCGCGCTTTTTATGTTGTATATGCCTTCCCATAACTGAAGTTTCCGGTTTCATTTGGCAAGATATCGACTCAATATCAGTCGCAACGTCTGGCCTTTTATAAATTATTTGTCATGAGAGAAGGGATAACTTAGTTATGTTGGTTGAGAATTATTAATCTCAGTGAAGAAAAGCTAAATGGGAATAACTATATCATAATATATATGTCCCC